TTAACTGAATTGGTAAGCTAATCCTAAATTAGTGTGGTTTTTTTTTGTTAATAATTTTTTTTTTTTTTTTTTTTTTTTTTTTTTAGCAAAAACTTAAACACTATGTACAGTGACAAAAACAAATTCAATAACAAAGTATTTGAAGTAGTTTAAATTTTTTCAAAAAAAAAAAAAAAAAAAAGGTTGTCTTGGTGTTGGACTGAAGCTACGTTCATGGACTGAATTTGTTCTGTTCGACCGGCAGAATGAGAAGTTGAGAGGCTTCGCTCGAGGCCTGGAGCCAGAAAGGATCATCGGCGCCACAGACTCTACAGGAGAACTCATGTTCCTTATGAAATGGTTTGTCAAAGCAAACTGCGACATTTTAGAAGAAAACTGACACTGCTGTGAGAAAGTATTTACACCCCTGACAGATTTCTTTTGGTTTTGCTCTTTTTTTTTTTGTATCAAATTCGAATGTTGACCAAAGATAACTTGAGCAAATACAAGAAAAACTGTTTGCAAAGGATTTAAATTATTAAAGGCAAAGGTGACCAACCTGACCCTTTGTAAAAAAAACAAAAAAAAAAATCAAAAACCATCAGAAATCTCTTGAGTGGGGAAAATGCTTTTAATCACACTGTAAAACCTGTTTGTCTTCGTGACATCAGTTAACTCAGTCTGCGGGTTTTACAGGAAACACTCCGACGAAGCCGACCTGGTGCCGGCAAAAGAGGCCAACGTGAAGTGTCCTCAGGTGGTGATCTCCTTCTACGAAGAGAGGCTCACCTGGCACTCGTATCCCTCGGAGGACGAGAAGAAAGACGACAAGAACTAAGGCGGACGAGGTAGCAGGGCTGGGGAAGAAGAACCTTTTGAACTCCAGTGTGATTTTGAGAGAGAGAGAGAAAGAGAGAAAAAGACCAGCAAGACCTTGTGGACTCATTTGTCGTTTTTGGTGTAGTTTCACTCATCTGATTCTCCTTTTTATGTGGATGTAATCTAAATATATACGCTTCAGATTTGCCTGAAAAGCCAGAGCAAAGGAAACAAAGCAACGCAGCAGTTAATTTTCAGCAAACATTCCAGTCGTTCTTGCTTTGGATATCCGGTCTGTGCATCATGCTTTCTTTTCCCCCCCGTTGTGTGCTTACGGAGCGCTACGTTTAGTGCCGAGGTGGACGTTTTCATTGTAATTGATCACCAGTATTTTTGAAAGATACCGTTCAAAACCGACAGCAGTTGATGTTGGGTTGTTTTTCTTTTCCCAGTTTCCAAGACAACCACTGTGGGTGTGATTACTGGTTTGTTTTTCCACTATGTAAACAAATGCAAATTTGCCTGAATTCATTTTTAAAAAAAATCTTTTTAGGTGCTTATCGGTTACAATATACTGAGTTTAAAAATTGAGTACAATCTGTTTTATTTTTTAAAAAGTTTTGGGATGAAAAAGAGCCAAGCCAGACAGGTTTTCCTCATTTTGGATTTCAATCTGACTGAAAAAAAAAAAAAAAAAAAAGAATAATATAGTAACGTGATTAGTGATGTGACCTTATTTGGTGTTCTACTTGTTTACAATCTGAGTTTCTTTTTTTATTTTTTAATGATTTTTGGGGGTCATTTAAAGGTGTGTATTGACTGCAGGAACCTGGGTAGTTGTCTGGGGTACCCTCATTGTTTTCTTTGTAACAACTGGGGTCCATATAAATATACACAAGTAAAAACGTACCACATAAAACACACATGGTAGTGAATAAATACAGCTACGTACTGACCTGAGCCATCCCGGTGTGGCTAAGTGATGGGAAGATACTTAGCATTTCTTTTTTTTTTTTTGTTGAATATTTCCAGCATCCAGCCACCTCCCAGTTTAAATCTCTTAAGAGCTCATGTTTACATGAAATTATTCAACAGTGGTGAGTGGAATATTTGTGATTCAAACCCAGTCGCTCATGTCGAATGTCAGTTTTACACTGCTTGCATTCAAAACTAAGTTTAGTTCTCTTTCAGCGTGTAACCACTCAAAGAGAGCCAACCAAATTCTGTGAAATTAATTGGTTTTAGGGTTATTGCTATGAACTTTTTTTTTTTTTTCTGACACGAGTTGTTTTTAAACGATAAAAGCAATGAAAGGGCCTCAGATTAGAGCTGTATTTCTCTCATTTCAGTGTCAATACTCTGTTGCCACCATTTGAAATCCGTTTGTAGCAAGTGGGAGTTGGAACAAATCAGACAACGCGGGATTATTATTCGATGCAGTGCATCTTCCAGTTTTATTATTTTATGAAAACTGGTGCAAGCAGAGCAGTGACCCCCTCTGCGTTAGCAATGTGATTTACACCTCGTAAAACTTTCCAGAAAATATTTCGGGGGGGCTGTTCTGGGTTGCGTAGTCGAAACACACCTTTAGCTGCTTTGCTCCATATTGTTTGGTGTAAGCTTACAAATCATTCTGTGAATAATTTGTTCATTGTAATCTTTCTAGTGTCTTTCTTTGTTTTACTCGTCACTTTTTGGAAAATAAAACCAATTTTTGTTACAAGACTGTTTCCAATCACTTTAACGTTTGCGGGGTGAGATCCATATCCTGAAGTGCCAGAGTGAGTTAAGTCATAAGCAGAATATATTGTTTAAGTAGAAGTGAATAAAAATGCAGTTAGTATGAAATTATTGCCAATTATTTAAACGTATCAGATGCTTAAAGGAAAATCAATAAAAAATAATGAACATAGATTCTGAATAGATTTAATAGGTATATGAACTTAATTTTCACATTTAAACGTGAAATTCATTAAAATGTATAGGTAGCATGATAAAACCACAGATTGTGTTTAACTGAAATAGCACTTCTAATGTATATCTCAGTATTTGTAAGGGTCCCTGTTGAAATTATATACACATTTTAATTTCATTTAAAAAATATGTTTAATGCCCTTTACTAAATGTCTTCTTTACTGGTAATAACTGCAATTTTAAGTTGTTACAACAGTATATAAATTTTTAATGACTTATTTCAGTCATTGTGTGCAAAGTCACACCATGTGAAGAATAAATTGTTTAAACTGTTGTGGAACCTCCACAGAATAACGTCGACACCTGCCGATGTGTAAAAGCATCTTTCAGTCAAGCATGATTAGAACATGAGTCACAGGTGAAAATAAAAACACTTTATTAATCAATAAAAACAATTCTTGATTGCCAGCAAACATCCGAAAACTGGGAACTACAATCCAGACTCAAAGCAGAGAGTGCGACCGTTATGGAGACATTAGACAAACTACAGAAAAAAAAAAACGGGAAAATATTTACAGAACAAGACAGACAAAAAAAAAAAAAAAATAGAGAGAAAAAAAGTGCACTAAGTAGTAGCAGTACTTAATAGTTGGTGTTTCACTGGGTTACATTAGAGTGAATGTTAACCAGAGATTCATGCCTTAATATCACATTTAATGACAGACATTTCTCCTTTTGAACATATTTTTTTTAATTCGGACATCATCTCAGTGTTGCGAGTTCTGCTTAGCCTTTTGTAAATATTTTTTCCCCAACTGCTAGCCGCAGCGATAGGCCCACTTTTTTTTTTTTCTATTTTCACACAACACGCGCACCGACAGACTTCATTCAAACAGACGAGTAATAGCACTTCTACTTTGAGAACATACCCTCCCTCCATGTTCTCAAAATCCTTTTAAAGTGAAGATCAGGAGTTTTAAATGAAGGCATTCAAATTTCTAAGTGGCCTCAATACACACCGTCACATGTATCTTTTTACCTCACATCTCTTCTTAAAAAAAAAACAAAAAAAAAAAAAAAAACTCAAAACGCAGGATCTGTAGGACTAAAGTCAACTACCCGGCTTCACAGCAGTTAAATATTTGCTTCAAGTTCATTTCGGATGTGGAAAATCTGCAAATAAGTTAAAAATAAACGGGGCACAGCAAAACGATGTCAACCGAACCTGCTTTGTTTTAATGCTCAAAATGGGGCATCGAGGTGGGGAGAAAAAAATAAAAAAAATAACGATGACCGTCAAAATGTTTGTCAAGTCAAAATGTTCAAATTACCAATGAACTTCAGTGATTTATTTCAACTGTTTACTTCTGTGACTTTAGATGACTGCACCTTACAGCTAATGAAAACCTTCATGTTCAGTTTCTTCAAATTATTTGACTCAATTTGACCACTTCTCCTGACCCTAATGAAAACACTTGTGACATGGCTTCTGGTTCAGTCCTAGATATGTATATGTATGCGTGTGTGTGTGTGTGCGCGTGCGTGCGTGTGTGGTGGCTCTCCCACCGTTGACTACAACCTCGTGCTGCGTTAACTCTGTATGTTGCGCACCGTTTTCAATTTCAGTTTTTCCTTCCACTAAACTTTCTATCAATTATGCTTGAATACTTCACTGCTCCTTATTTAGATCATCAGCACAATCTAACCAATGGCCGTTGCCTATAACCAGATCCTGACATAAGACTTATGAATTGCAAAATGTAATTGTTCTTATAAAATATTCAAATTATTTAAGGTTCGGAATTTTTGTTTTCATTTGTTGTAAATCATAATCATCAAAACTAACAGTTAAAAGAAATAAATGGTTGAAATATCCCACTATGTATGTAGCAAATCTGTATAATTTATGATTGAAATTTAATTACTGAAGAAAATGTCCTTTTAAATTCCATTTTAATTGATGGAGCTGCGCCTATAAATGTAATCTGTCAGCCGAAGTCGGATGAAATGGTACAGTACAGCTTGATGTGAAAGGTTTTATCAACACAGACGGTAGGAGAGGGGAAAAAAAAAAGAGGCTAGACCTATAACCCTGCTTATTCTACACATTATAAACAGTTAATAAGAGCCTTCCTAAATGCAGCCCCTGTATTTAAACCTGCAGCGAGGGAAGAGCGACAGAAACGGCAAAATGCATACCAAAGCCAAGCCTTTTAAAAGACAAATTACAGTGCTATGTATAATTCATAAGGAACTTGATACATTTTGCAACGCGGTGCGCCTCGTCCCAGAAATATCTCTCGGCTCCTCCTGCAGGACCTCGTGGGGCCAGCTCTCCAACTCTCCGCCTCGGACTTCTCGTCCAAATCATCCGACTCCCGCACGTCAAACCCCGGCGTTTTTAAGGGCCTTCTACGTTTAGGTGCCACCCAGAAATCGACTCAAAAAAACTAGACCTTGCGGTACAAACCTACAGAGTAAGAGTGCAGCGTTTGAGCATTTTGGACTTGTACGGATTCAGGTGATCAGGTGCGCCCCTACAACCTTTGGTTAGTATAGGTGTTAATGGCATTCTAAGACAATGTACTTCCTTTAGCCTTTGGTTTCTCGTCTCACAACTTCAGGTGCTGATCTTTGCCTTAAGATCTACAACTTAAAAGCAATTCCTAAAAGTCTCCAGGGTGGGAGGTGAGCTGATAGTCCTTTGAACCCTTTAGATCCACAGGTATTCCCAACCATGCATGTTAGCTTAGCTCTCCCGACGTCGGTCCATTCTTCCACCCGACACGCCTCCATCCCTAGTGGTTTGGTGCAAAAGGAACGAGAGCAGCTATTTATTCTTCTAGTAGCTCAGCTTTTGTCCTTCAAATCCCTCCCCTTTTTCTGGTCTAAATAATGAAACGCCGCCGGTCCTCGAGCCAAGAGCTATTCCGCTTCAGAGTTGTTTCTAGGAAAAAACGCAGGAAGAGAATGAAAGAGGAGAAACTAACCCAGGGAGGAAGAGGAGTAAATGCCGTTTCTCTTCAACAGAATCTTCTTAAAGGAAAAAAAAGGCATCTCTCTTGCATCTTGCACAAATCGGACTGATTTAGCAAAGTGATAGAATAACCAGCAGTCTCTCTGCGCTCACTTCTTTTTGTCTTTCTGTTTTTTCTCGGGTTTTCTGCTCGGCTGCTGCGCGGCGGGCGCCCCGCCGCGGGGTGCGATCAGCACGCTGCCGTCGGCGCCGTACTGCAGGCAGTACTCGCTGGGGGGAAAGGGCCGGCCCTCCTCGTCCCGCAGCTGACTGAAAACCTCCTGGCACAGGCTCTGCATCTTCTGCTTCAGCTGCCGGATGGAGCGGATGAACTCCATCTTCTCCTTCAGCAGGCGGGCCTTGTCGCGCCGCAGGTCCTGCACGCCCTGCTCCAGGTTGATGATGGTCTCCAGCTTGCGCTTGCGGCAGTTCTGGGCGGCCATCTTGTTCTTGCCGCGCCGGCGGATGTCACGGATGAGGGCGAGCTGGGCCTCGCTCAGGTGGTGCTTGGCCAGCAGCTCGTTGAACTCCTCCACGGGGAGGTTGACGATCTTGTCGTTGGAGAAGGGGATCTTCATGGCGCGGGCGCGGCGCTCGTCGCGGCTCGAGTGCTTGTCGAGCAGGTCCTGGGAGGGCTGCAGCTTCTTGTCGCGGCTCGCCTTCTTCCCGGCCGACAGGAGGAGGTCCGGGCGCTCAGGGAAGCTGGAGGAAAGCGGCACGTTGTAGGTGTGGTTGTGGCTGATGCCGTCCAGCTGAGGGAGGCCGTTGAACTGGGAGAGGTCCTGGAAGCTCATGCGGCAGAGCTTGCTGTACTCGGGCTGGTAGCCGCCCACCGCGCCCTCCTCCGTCTCCACGGCGGCCGCCTCGGAGTCGGTGCTGTACCCCACGGCGCCCTCCTCGGAGAAGTTGGCGGAGGTGGAGGACGAAGAGGCTGCCGAGGAGCAGGAGGTCTCAGAGCTGCTCGGCGAGGCCGGACTGCGGCTGGAGTCCAGCGAGAGGCCGGAGTCCGAGTCGAGCTCTTCCTCCAGCTGGGACGCCTGAGCCTGGCTGAAGCCCTCCTCCATGGCCAGGTCCAGCAGGCTGATTTCGTCCAGCATGGACTCCTCCAGGAGGGTGGTGAAGGGGTCCGGCAGGCTCGGCGCGGAAGTGACGTTGCTGCTGGAGCTGTTGATGGGCGGCAGGAAGACCCCCGTCAGGTTGGTCGCTCCGAACGTAGAGTTGATGTTGGTGGAGTTGCCAGAGGAGAGCCTGAGCATGCCGGTCCGAGGCGCCACGCCGACCGAGTCCAGCTGGGGGCTGAAGATCTGCGGGAAGTCCTGGCTGCAGCTGGGCAGGGAGGCCTGGTGGAGGCTGACGTCCTGGTTGATGGGCGTGGCACGCTCAGAGAGCCCGAAGGTCCCGGCAGCGGTCGGCTCCGCCGTGCCGCTGCTGGCGTTCCCGCTGTTGGAGGCGCTGTTGTTCACGTCCATCGCCTTCGGACAGAAACAACAGAAAAGTGATTTTCTGATTTTCTCAGCTAAATAATGAATTTTTAACAAATGACTGAAATGTACAAAATCTTCAGATTTTTGTGAAAAAGTGATCAATTATAAGACACTTTTTTTTTTGTTTTTTTTTGCGTCGATTGTTTTTGTTTTTTAGTCTAAGCTCGACGACAACAACAGAAAGTCGCTCTTGCCGACTTTCTTTCGAGCGGAGTTACATCGGGTTGTAATGTATACAACCCGATGTATAGGCAAAATGTGTAGTGTATTTTTTTTATTTTTTATTTCTAGTAATAAAAAGCTAGACTCGTCTCCAATCAACCTGTCATTACAGCGTTGATTTTTTTTTTTTTTAATTTAAAATCAAAGACACTAAATCTCATTAATCCTAAAAACAGCCAAACGCAGCCTACTTGCAGCTCCATGATGGCCATGATGTCCTGCCACTGCTGCTCCAGGTCCAACTGCGGCTCTGCTGGGGGCATCTGTGGAGCCAGAGCGAGGCCCTGGGAGGTGGAGGGAACTTCCTCATTGGAAATGGACGCTTCCTGGTTACCGACCGGGACAGGAAACTAATCAAAGCATGCATAGACGGTAATAGAGAAAAATACGTTTGACGTTACAAGGGAGCGTTTCACAGAACTTAAATTCAGCTGCAGACGTTGCGTCGTTACCTCGGCTTCTTCTCCGAAAGGGAACGTGGCCTCCAACAGCCTCAAGCACTCCTGCAGTGACAGTGAAGTCTGTGAGCCAAGAACTGGCGGCTAACAACAATAAAACACAGACAGGTGTGCTACATTAGTGCTTCTGCACTTTTACGTAAAAAAAAAAAAAAAAAAGCGTCTCTCTCATAACTGCCCCTTTTGGAAAGAAAAGAAGCAAATTACAAATTATTCAAAATGAACCCTGTTATCCATTTTGTTGTAAAAAATTTTTTTTTTATCCTCTGATCTTTGGTATTTTTACTCCAGTTCATCATGCTGTGGGAATCTCACACTAAGCCCAGCCTAATTTTAGCAACATTCATGCCAAACAGTTGTTGGAGGGGGCGTGTCACTTTTAAAACGCTTGACCCCGCAAACAACATCAACTTTGGTCCAAATGCAGATTGGTTTTTCACAACCAGAGAGCAAGTGTAGAATCACGTTAGGTAGTTGTAACGTGACAAAATATGACTGGGAGTATCAAACCTTCTGCAATATCTGGTACGGAACTCCACCAAATATTCAGAAACGAACGCCAGTTGTCAGAAACTAAAGATTTAGAAAAAAAAGAAAAAGAAAAGAAAAACAATAAATATTGCAAGAACTTCTTTAAAGACGGTTCCACATTTACTAAAAACTCACACTCAACCGACAAATAAATATCCTATCCATCAATGCTTGACTCGTTTTTTTTTTTGTCGTGTCTTAACGTACCTGCTCAGGAATGCTCTCTCCGGTCTCTCCGTCCACCGGCTGGGACCCCTGTAAGTTTATCCCATTTCTCCAGCTCTCTTGTTCATCGTTGGCATCTTTGCTGTCCTGTGGGCTGGGCTTCTCCTCCTCCGTGTCCTTCTGACGGTTGCTGTAGCTGAACACTTCCCTTCCTGCTCCAAGGTCGATGTCCTGTCGCCATAGGATGTCAATCAAGTCAATGTCCTAAAACAGAAACAAAGAAAACTCTTAAAAACTGTTCTGCGCACCAGTGAAACTATGATCAGAAGATTTGAACAGTTTTTGGTTGTGTCACTGTTTTCGTTATTAGATCAAGCTGTAAATGACCTACTTTTCCATATTTTATTTTATTTATTTTTTTTTTTCAAATAAAATGTGTTTTTCAGTGCTGACGAGTTCTTCAAAGGGCAGGTCACGTAACACGAATCAGATGGTTCAACCATGATATAAACATTTTAGCACGGTGGTTATTCTTGTGATCCAGCAAAAGAATAAACAGAAATCTTCAGCTATGTGTAACATGAATGTTTTACTGTATCGCTGTGTTTGAATGGGGAACAAAAACAATGAAGCACAGTGAGACAAGTAAATAAAAAAAAGCTGGAAATTTAAAGATCTAGAGCTAAATTAACTGGACTGAATGCTAAAGTTGCCCCGTAAGGATGGAAACGTCACCAACAGCTGAATGCGACTCCACTGGTTTGACTTGAAATAGATTAAAAAAAAAAATAAATAAATAATAAGAAAAAAAAAAACAGCCAGGAAATGTGGAAGGTAGAGAAAAAACTGATGTTAAATATCAGTTTATATTTTTAGGTTGTTTTTGTAAATCACAAAAGATGCAACATTTTATAAACCAAAACTGACAAAAATAAACAATCATGCTACTTTATAAGTTTTTAAAATCCATATCATCCTGTACTTACAGGCACAACTCAAAAGCTAATATATAAAAATGGTTGTTTTAGGTCATCAATCAATATCAATACCAAATGATCTGTTTCAACATGTCTTATTTGTCTCAAATTTTATGGTTGTCTCTCGCAGTGAATGAAAACCCAAAATTGTGTTTCTCAAAAAATGTGTTTATTACATCACCAAAATCACGGGGAAGAGCATTGAACTGAATACGGTCCAGCCGACTGTCATTGACACGATTCACAAAGAAGAGTTGGCTACAAGTACATAAATGGAAAATGTAGTGGAAGGAGGACATGCAGTGAGTGGGAAATGACAGACAAAAATCCAGACAATTTGGAAATCAAAGGGAGAAGGGAGAGCCACAGAATGCTGACTGACGTCCAGTGGGATATTTCTGCAGCCGGTCAGGATCTGGGGTGTCCTCTGCTGTGTTGGTCCACTGCGTTACTACATCTCATTAGGCCTACATTTTCATTTCCACACCGTTAAATTTTATTGCGCTTACATAAAATTTTCATGCTCTTGGAAACTGAATTTTGGGTTTTTGTTGACTTTTGACCATAATTGTTACTGTGTCAATTGAATGCAACAATTTAACTTGAATGCCTCACAAGACAGCACAAATATCTCTAAATTAAAAAAAGAAACAAACAAAAATATCCTCTTGAGTCTAACCATAAAACCCGTAACCATGGCGTCGTACCTCTTTGGTGAGGTCGTCATTTCCGCCTCTGCTGCCCTGCTCCTGGTTTCCGTCTGGGGCCACGGCTCCCAGGCTGCTGTCCGCTGCGTTCAGGTCGTACGTGGATTCAGGTGCTCCGCCGCCTCCCCTCATGGCCGGGGTAGCGTCGATGTTGTTAATGTCCTCTAGGCCGGCCCCATTGTCCAGGGTTATGCCGGGGCTGGACTGACCGCCTGCGGACACCACCGTCTCAGAGTCACGATGCACTAGCCAGGTGTTGAGCTCGGTACTGGGCACGGACAGGCGATCCAGCTGGCGCACCTCGTTCAGCAGCCGCCGGGTCGTGAAGAACTGGTCCAGGTCCACACTCTTTGGATGGATCCCATAGCCGTCCAGCGTGTTGCGCAGGTTGTGGAACTGGGTCTGTGTGTAGGCTGAGCTGGGCCCCAGGATGATCTCTCTTAACGGGGGCAACTGATTGCTTAGATACGTGTCGACGTCCACCCGCACCCCAATGAGACTCAGAAGGATGGTGAACTGAATCAGGCCCTCTGTGAAGTACTTTTTCAGGTAAAGCATTTCTTTACAAAGGAACAAAAAAATGAAAGTAAAAAAGTAAAACAAAAACGGGGGCGACCACTTGTAATCAATAACTCTCTGCTAAAACTAAGGGATGAAAACTGATACAAGAACATAGAAGTGGTTAAGGAAGGCAAAAGCGTCTTTGAGAGTTAATTTAAAAAGGGCTCAGGTTCCAAGATAAGGTTTCCACTTCTCAGAAGAGTTTCTTCAAAGAGTTATCATCTCCCCATTCCTGCCAAATAGAAGAAATTACATTTTATAGAATTTCTGCAAAATTACCCATGTAACTTAAATTTGCATAAATTTAAATAAACAACAACAAAAGAAAAAAAAACAAAGGTTAACTTAGAAAAATTATATACAACTTTAGTGAACATAAGGTTTTCATTTCATCACCCATTCAAATTACAAAAAGGTCGTCTATGAGGCCGAAACTCGACGGTTTCAGAGGGAAGGTTGAAGGTCTGAGAGGTTTGGTTTAGTCAAAGCATAAAATTCTTCAGTCAGAACTACCCCAAAATGAATAAATCAAAGCCACTCAAGCAATTCTCCTTTAATAAGGTGGAGCAATAAATGAACAAACAATTCTAAGACAAAAAATAAATATGAATTATAATCTAACATGTACAACATAGGACTTTTTAAAGGCAGGGTGTCACTTATCAACATGTCTGCAGCTGCTGTTTGTGCTTCAGTCACCCAGCTGGTGATCACTGAACAGGCTTAAAAAACAACTTTGTATTTGCTATTTGAATTTTCAAGAATTTTGGATAATAACCTGAAGGAGTCATATCGAGAATACCATTTCATTACGTTTTATTCCTTTAAGCAACATTTTCAGGGCACAGTGTTCTTTCTGCATGAAAGAAAACTGATTTCCAATGTTTAAATTTTGTCTTCATTAGTGAAATTAAAATGTAAATATATCACACCGTCCTTACTTTCTTGGTGGCAAATACTGGATTCACTTAAAAAAAGTGATTGGTCCTTCATATAAAAGTGTTTTTGCTGATTGTTTCCTTTTGCTAATCAGTGACATTAGTTGAGTTACAGACACTAAAGTCATGTAATGTGGCTGATGGTTTGCTCAAACTAAAACTAAAAGCCTTGTAGTTTTGTCACAGCGTAAAACAATTATAGCATTCCAGACCTACTGCAATCAAGTTAAAGGCGAAAAAATGCAAGGACAACAATATGGAAGGAGTAAAGGGTGAATTAACACACAAATTTGACAGATGAATTTAATGCCACTCTTATTATAGAAAATCTAGACTAAGAATTTTAAGGAGGAATATTTATGCCAAAAATCAACTGATTTGCTGTAGAAAAAAGTAATTTCAAAAATAACTAACATGTCAATATTTAGGCATCGTGGTACTCTGTAAAAATACACTCAAATTTTTCTATTGTGAAAACGCCAATATTAAGAAATTAAAGCATTTCTCAATACCATAAAACAAACCATTGTAGGAGCAAAAAAATGAACAGCAATTTAAGACATAACTAAGTAATTTAAGAGGTGTGCTGAAAAAATCTAGACATATTAAATACTTTTTAAGGCCTAAATTGTAGATCTATACGTTGTAAGAGTTGTTAACGTTTTAATTCCTTGTTGCATCAGTCCACACACTCCAATCACTCAGCTTTCAAACACTTAAGACATCTTACCTACCCACACTTGCATTAAACACATTATAGGAGAAGAAAGAAAGAGCAGGACTTGCTAACCACTTCATCCTAATAGAACAGGAGGACTGATGTCGGATCGCACCACGCTGTTGATCTTCATTTTAAGACATTCGGCAGAGAAGATAAGATGAACACAGAGATTCAGGCTTCACCCCACCCTTGACAGGACAACTACTTCTTCTGGCTGCTGCTGAAGGTGAACGAGGGAGTCCAGATAGCTAGCTCGACTGGCTCTGACACCCACCAACGGCGACGCTGGGTGGCCGGCGGGGTCCCTCCCTCCTCCTCCAGCACAGCTGCGCCTATCTTTGTCCTTCCAGCTGGTGGCTACCCACTAATTCACGACCAGCCACCGCTAACACACGTCTATAACCTCCTTCTGACGCTACATAAAGTAACTGTTTTAAAACCTTTCGCTGCTTTACTTCAATTTCTCTTTCGACAGAAAGCGGCAGGTGCCTCTGCTAATATTTACTTTCTCCCTAGCTAGTGTCAAACAATCTCCCTAGCAACAAGTGGGGAAAATATGAGTGACATGACAGTTCAGCCATTCAACGACCTCAACTACTATGATGTAACATGACTCCAGCGAGTCCAGACCAATAAGAATACGTTGTAGGCGGGGTTTAGTGAATGACGCGACAGTGATACGGGAAGTCAAAAATTACACAGCGTTAGCCTTATGAGCTAGTTTACAGCAAACTAATTTAAGTAATTTTAAAATGAATTGATATTGAAAACAAATTACACCCGGCTTCTGATACACAAATACTATTATAATTATGTGTCGCTTCGTTATGTTGTGTCGTTAAACAATGAAGCCCATGAATCGGTCAACGTGATAATTCGTTAAAACCGTTAAATTGTATACTTACGCATGAAGATTTTGTAACCGTGTCTTCATGCCCACATGTCGACTAACACACCAGATCAGTGATTTAATCCGCTAGTCACTACAAGTTCCACTGAGTTACTATCCTTACTGAATGGCCCACCATGACTTGCAAAATCACTTGCTACCGCTGCTAGCCTAGCCCAAAACACGCGTACACACGGAGCATGCGTAGAACATTCTAGTGGTAAGCTTTCATCAGCTGACGGAAAATCCCCTCCGCCCCCAGTGTTATCAAAGTCTGGTTTAGTTTATATAAGAACTATTAAACAACTAAGTATAACCTCGTTTGTGTAACTATGATATCATAATATAGTATTTAAAAATATTAAACCAGGAAAAAATAAAAAATGTTCAAGGATTTTTTTAAGCGTCCACTCGTGGTCAACATGCATTTGTATTAAGAAAAAAAAAAACCTTTTACAAAGCAATAATGTACCGAGTGAAAGTGAAAGCTACAAAACAATTTAAATTGGCACCACAGAAATCAATCTCAATAATCATAACATTTTCAGTAAACGTTCAAATTTGCTGTGGATGTTTGCTGTATCACTCATAAGTAGTTGATACAGTAAACATAGTTAATATGCATCAACTAGTTCATATTTCCAATGTTTATTCCAATTAATTTAGAGGAATATGGCTTACTGTTGATGTAAAACCTCAAATCCATTCATTGTTTGCACTTGCAGGGTCAGGGTATTCCCGCAGTCCTTTGGGTGATAACTAGATTGTCCTGGATAGAGCTCCAGGCTATTCAAATGCTTAAGGGAATATCAGAGACCAAGTAACCTAACAGGCACATGACAGTACCATGGCAGGAAGCTGGAGGCCCTGAAGGGAACTCATGAATGCATGGAGAGAACATGCAAAAATGCAAAAAGATCCAAAGCCAGAATATTAGCCCGACTGTCTTCATCATGGGAACATGAGTGTGTATAGGGTAGGCCATTAGTGAAATTAGTGAAAGAAAACAAACTTTTGTAAGATATTTATTTACTAAGATGTGCCCATTCATCCCTGCTTTAACTGAGATTACCGTAGCTGTTGTCTGTAACACCACATGATATCACACTGCATCTATGTTGCTCTACTGCTTCCACTGAAAGTCCTGGTTACAATAACAGCAAAAAAACAACAACAAAAAAACTATAGTCATGTGTTTATTTATTTAAGCAATGCTTTAATTGTTTTGACAATTTACAAAATACAAAACCACAGAAGTTTAAGTTAAATATTGTTTATTCCTCTTAGCAGATCAGAACATAATACATCTGCAGGGTTCACTAAATATTCACCCCCATAAGGTTGACTGGTCTGTTGTTGTATCTCTTTGAAATGTCGGCTTCAATCTGCAGAAACAAAACAACCAACAGATTACAGAGAAGCTTGAAGGCGTCTTCATTTTACTGCAGTTTACCGTTTATCTCGTTCGTTTACTTGAACGAGGATCTGTGACTTTCTGTGGCCTCCCCCCTGGGAAAGCACCAACACCCTGTGAGCATAAATAAAAGGGGAAAGTAATCTCATACCAGTTTCTGGAGTTCCCGGGTGCGTCCTGCCAGCAGGTCAACACAAGGCTCCAGTCTGGACTGCTCCTGAAGCGCTTCCTCTCTCCGCTCAACCATGGTGGCAGCTTTCAGCACCAGGATGTCTGCCTGCTTCAGCTTCTGCCTCAGCATTTCTGACACACGTTCAACATACCTGAACGCGTTTAACAAAAAGCACAAGGAAATAAAGGTTATGAACCAGAGATACAGCGTGAGCTTTCGTTTCAGTTACAGTTTTCACAACTGTCACAATTTGCAGCTGTTGACATTACTTTTAGCTGACTTCATTTTAGTTTAGCCATACCAGCAGCCCAAGTGAAATCATGTTAAAAGAAGACTGTAAGACAGCTTCAATCAGCCAGAGCTCAAATGTAGGCAAACCTCACTTGGTTGGCTCTATTCAGTTATCTGGAACCCCCCCCCAAAAAACCAAAAAAAACCCAAAACCCTATTTGATGTTGATCATCGTACCTCGGTGAGGCCTGGATCATGAACAGGTGCTGCATGCGGAGCGAGGTGAGCCGGCCCAGAAGCTCTTGCACCTGGGACAGCAGTTCTCGGACGTGTTCTCGGGTTTGTCTCTGGATGATAGAAGGAGCCAGCTGAAACTGACTCATGGCCACCATGTCGCCCTCCTCCGCCATCTCGGTGACCCGCTGGGTGAGGAACGCCTCGAGCTGCAGCAGCACACAAAACCAGAGCGAAACATAGTAAAATACTAAAATAAAAAGAATCATCAGGGAGAAAACGCTGATGATTCACCTTGAGATTAGACTAGGGCACTGCAAACATATCCTTACGCCTTGAACTTTTTCTAAATACTTTTCACATTTGAACCAAAATACGACATAAGACATTAGGATCTTACGTCGTCGACCCACTTAGAACAAGTGCTATGCACCATTGTGGAATAAAGACAATCAGTTGAAAGAAGAGCATAATTTTGAAATCAATTAAAATGATTGTTTTAACTTTTTTATATTTGACAAATAAAAATTTGGAAAGTGTGAAAATCTAAACTCAGCCAAAGTCGACCATTAAAATACCTTCCTAGAAGCTGAAGAATCACTGATTAAAAACACATTTAAAGACGACACTGAAGACCGGCTGTTTGGATTTAAAACATGAAAAACTGACATTTTCAGCGAGCTCATTAGTTTGATTTAGCTGTGGACGACAGAATACTGTTTTACCTCCATGAGCTCATCAATGAACTGGCTGCGTGACTGGGAGTTTTCCAGTATGCTCAGAGCATCGTCACCCCGCGCCACGCCCTCGGGACCTGAAGGAAAACACATTTTGTTTTCTGGTTCCTGCAACTTATTTCCTGCGTTTCATCGAGGTCGTCATTTAAGAACAAACTTACAGTCCGTGCCTGTATCGACAATTTCTATTTCAAGTGCGGCTGGTTCTCTGTCACCCCAGTCGATGCCGCCTGCACCGCTTTTCTGATGAAGCAGACCAGAACAGTCACTGACGTGTTCATGTGTAGCGAAAAGCTTAATCTGTCTTCATTAACAGCCAAACAACTGGGATCTCTTTCATTTCTAAAGAAAGATAATGAAATGTTCTTTTTTCTACAAAGCTTAGCAGCACGACTGACAATAGTTCTGGTACTCATAAAAATAACAAACTCCTTCACATGGTACTGATTCTTCCCATCAGTAACAAAAAATCTGTCACAGTGAGATCAAGCTGCGGCAATAAAGAATGAATTAGTGTTTTTCATGTATTTTTACAAAGTGTGGACAGTTCTGTTATTGTACACATGATGACTCAGCGCAGCCTGCAGAGTAATCATGTGCTAAACCTAAAAATCACTCAGCTTATGCTTGTTTGTCTAACCTCAGATGTCGGCTCCAGAGAGATTCCCCAATCGATTCCTTCCTCCACTGTGACGCCAGCGGTCACGCCCAGATCATCTGATGGTTTACTACCAAAATCTCCCCAATCAATCTGAAGCAGTTATTAATGTAATAGGTTAATGACGGGACGTTACAATATAAACGTGGAAAAGTAACGTTTTAACTTCGTTTGGACCAGAAAGAAAAAAATTCACTCAACCATGACAAGAGAAAATTAAAAATTCCCTAAGACAAAAACAGCTAAACAGATAAAACACACATGACTCTGTAAAATGATATCGATGAAACCAACCGTGTCCTCTGTCGCTGCATCGGGAGGGGCTTCCTCCACCGCCGGCCGTTCAACAAGGCTGGGGACTTTCCCCGTCCTCCACTCGTAAAACGTCACGTTCCCCGATTTCTGGCAGAACGTCAGCATGGGCAGGACCGGTTCGGACCTTCGAGCAACAACATGCAAGCTCATAAATCCAAAGCTAAAAAGCATCACTTAGATCTATAATGGAAAGCTTGGTGGTGTAGTCAAAGTGTCAAGAGTTTCCCACAGAGGGTCCAGTGTATTCAACGATTAAATTAAGACGAGCAGGACACAGGGAACCTTTTTAAACATTTGGAACAAAGCTTAGGAATTATTATATTTATCAAGTGTGTAAACATCTGTGCTCAATGTGCTCATGGATTGTGCCGTGCAAAAGTTTTTAGCCGCCCAACATTTCTTTTAGAATTTAGCTTTTAAAAATTCATCAGCAAGACTTTCTCGTCTTTATCGCAAACTTGATCTCCCAGATACTCAAGGTTTATTGAACAGAACATTTGGGAGAAAATAAAAGGAATCGGAAGGAGGGTCAAGAATACAAGAGTGAAACAGCAAGCAGAATATCCAAAGACAAACTCTGACAATCTTCAGAAAACCTGAATAATTATTGATCAAGGCTATTTTATAGGTAGTCTGGAAAGAAGAAGAAGAAGAAGAAAAAAAAGCTCCTCAAAATCCCGAAGAGATGACTCAAGATTTTTGCACAAAGCGAGTTGTAAACTGATTGCATCTCGATGATATACCCACCAGTCACACACAAAATTTGTGAATGCAGCATAAAGCTGGATTTGCTCCTCTAACTTTGCTGCATCCCTCCCCACCTCCTCCAGGACTGCAGGCAAGTCTTTCACTAGAGCCTGAAGCTCTCGCTGAACATTTTCCCCCTGACAGAAAAGACACATAAAAAAAAAAAAATGTGTACCATAATAATTACAAGACTTGTTAGCACTGAATTAATATATGAACATTGTTCATCCTTGCACTCACAGTGATGCCATACTGCTTGCAGGCAGCATAGTAGCGTTCCCTCAGTTCGGCTGCTGAGCTCTGGCACTCCACCTCCCGCCTGCTGAGCTCCTGCTGCAGCTGCTTAGC